ACTGCCAACTATTTAAACACAACATCCATTTATCTCTGAAAATAAAAGTTTTCAGTGATTTTACAAATGGTTTTGATTCAGTAAACATCCAATTGCATATAAAAGTAATAAAAAGCATCAATGCATCAAAGTGAAAGACAAAACAATAAATCAGAGCCTTGTATATTTGTCTCCTCTCTTCATATTTATCTGCCATCCATGTTCTGGCATGGTAACAGACATCTTTGACACTGTCATAAGGCAACAAAATTTTCTGTTTTTCTTCCCAAAATCAGCTGATAATTAATATGCACACGCTGATGTCATCCATAAAAATTACTTGTTGTGCCCTTAGGGGGCACATCTCAGTTTATTTTTGGTCTCAATTCTGCACACCCTCAAGTCTACTGATCATCTCTATGTATAGCGTTAGGGAAATAATTCTGAAACAAAAAACTGTATAGGAACAAGCAATAGACATCTTCCCTCCATGAACGAGGTTGGTGTTGTTAGGGTTCTTTTTTATGTTATCGCATGTGTTGATTGTTAAAACATGACAGCTGGGTTTAAATTTAATTGGACGTTATATGGCCATGAATAATGAGGGAGTTGCTTTGTGTTGGTACAATTTTAATTTTTATCATGTAAGTACCAACCCAGATAAACTTTCAAGCGAGTTTTACAGTGGCCTCCTGTCGGCTTCACAGACTACCAGAAGTGACATGCAGACTATCACCATGAATAATGGTATTTCCTAATAGCCTGGGAGACATTTGTTTTCCTGGTGGTAGGAGTGCAAGGAGTCAAGTTACGAATGCACAACACCCAAGCTCCCTGTCCAAACCTAACCCCACAGGTCTCAAGTCCTTATCTATGGCAGCAAATAATCAATAAGAAATGCACAGCATACCTTGCAGAATAAGCTACACTACAGATCTACAACCACCAACTATTATGGACACTAAAACACACACACAGAAAACTCAAAAAAATACCACGAACCAAAGATAATCATAATTAATCCTGCAGAGGTGAGGTCATTGACCTCTCAATCACAACACAAACAAACCACACCATTAGCAAGGCCGGCAGACCCAAAAACAACCAGACCAAAAAAATATATAGCCTGTCAAACAGGAGGTAAAAATAGATACTAGTATATAAACAAAACACTCTAGATCTGTCCCAACTTTTGGGTCAAACAGACCATCCTATTATGAAGTAGGGGTGAAAAATGAAAATCCTTTTAAATTAAGCAATACAAATATACGACAACCTGCTAATGCACTCTAAAACACAAAGAGACTCAACAACTACCCACATACCAAATATTATACCAAACGACCCACCAGATTTTCCAAACATTCAACACAAAAAGACCAACTTTAAACATATTGTAAATATCAAACGCAAACAGCTAGGAAGCCCAAATTTAAACCACTAAACCATGGTAATAACAACTACATGCTACCTTAATATCGCACAAACAGTCCATAACGCGCAAACAACAGAATAAAAAAATTAAACTGCAGTACCAAGGTCAATCACCAGGGGCTCAAAGTCAACCTACACAATCTCCAAGGCCCCATCCATCAATCTGCCAAATATCGTACAGTTCCTTCTCACCGATCTTCAGATATCAGACCAAACATGAAACGGAGTAAAAACAATACCCCCATTTTCATGGAGGGTAATTATGATACCCTTCTAGCTACAAGGACAGCAGAAGTTCACTTTCTTCAAAAGGAAGAAGGAATTTTGTAATCAGTAATTAAGGATGAGATGAGCCAGACAAGATTAGGTATTTTTACATGCTTGAACCCAATACCATATAGTATAGCCACCAAAACATACAAAGAGGAAACCCTTGTGTAATAGTAAAGTAAATGACATTTTATTAGTTAAAGGTATTTGTTGTGAAAGGAAAAAAATCTTGTTGTGAAACATACTAGTATTTGGATATTGAAAACAAGGAGAGGATCTATATTGAGTACAATGTGCCTTTTTTATCAGTTCCAGTTGCACCAAAAGCATTCCAGGCCAACAATGACCCAAGTCGTCTGTTCACGCCCCGGCGAGCGCTCGGTGATGTCAACAAGGTTCCTCGCCAACATCCATCACAGACTCCAGCTACTGCCAAGAAGCCTGGACTTTCCATGAAGACTCCGAACATTCCCAAACCACTGGGGGTCAGAAACATTGAGAATGCCAGGAAGATGTCTCTTAACAAAACTCCAGGGTTAAAGAAGCCTCTCCAGAAGACAGGGGGACTGAGACAAATGAGTACGAGCATGACACCAGCTCAGGTGGGTGTGTTTTCAGGATGTACAAGATAAGATTTAAACCAGTGATTTGATGGGTGGGATGAGTTGGCTTATTAGGTGCATAGCACAAACTTCGACCTCGCCTTTCATTGCATTTCTGTGTTACTGTAGCATATGTGTCAATTTTGGTTACAAATTGTTGCACAATTACACAGTGCAGTATGCAGCATACCACTATTATCTGATATTGTCTGTTATTCAAGACTTTGCATGTGTGTGTATGTTCAGATCAAGAGGAGAGGGCCCAAGGAAGTGGAGGTCAAGGTTCACACAGACAGAAGTCCTCTTGATCCAAATAATCTTCCTGACATGGAGACCATGCACATTTATGAGGACAGTGGTAAGTATATCTATCCATATATATATGTGTGTGTGTGTCCATATATATATATGTGTGTGTGTATGTGTGTATTTACCATATTTTCTTTGTTTCAGTCAAGTCTTCTTCAGACCTCTACTTTTGTAATACGAACAATTTATCGTTATATACACCTGTTACTTTCTGCAGATGACTTCAGTGTTTTTGCTGCGAATGAAAGACCCTCTAGTATCATAGGGAACTTCCTGAGGAACTTGAGCATTCCCTCCATGCACAGCTCTACTGCTGAACCCTTCAAGGAAAGGAAACTGGAGTATGAAGAAGTCAGAAGACCATGCTGTAAGAATCATCCTGCTTTTGTAATACAATGTACTAATATATTTATATAGTTGTAAATACGTTATTGTAAGGAACAAAGCAAACAAGGATTGTGTGTGATGTAAGTTCAGATGACTATGTATTACACTTTGTTTCATTGTCACTTTCTAACAGTTTCTGTTAGCAATGTTCTAAAATCAATCAAATCAAGAACCTTACAGATGAATAGAGATGAAACACCAGCACTTCATCTTTCACAGGTGATGACTCCTTGGACTTGAACCCATCTCACCTGGAGCTGAACCTGCCTGACCTCTGCAGTGACCTTAGTCCTGTTGACCTCCCTGACCTGGTGGATTTTGAACCCCTCTTCATCTCCTTACCAGACAGGGTTTAAGTTTTTTTAATGGATGTAGTATAAGGAATCAACGTACCTTTTATTGTAGTGCATGCATTTTAAGTGTTAAGTCTTGACTAAGAATGCAAGCACACATCTAAGTGGAATATCGACTTTGTTGCTCTCAGTTATGTCACATTTGTTTATAAACACTGCTTAACCCTTGTCCTACCAGTAATATTGTCTTGCAGTACATACTGTTTTTATATGTTGTTACTTGATGTCGGTTGGATTAATAAAATTGTTTTTGTAGCTTTTTGTTGCTTCTTACTGTGTCTGATGACTAAAGAATAACTACCCCCACCTAGCTTCTTCCACTATTTTCCACCACTCCCCTCTATGCCTGGCCTCCAAAACAAGTCTGCTTTACCTGTTGTTCCTCTTTGGCCTGGAGTCCAGCCTTGTTAGCATTACTTTACTCCCCAAGATCTGCTGGACTGCAGGCTAGTTTATCTTCACCCCCTCTCAAAATCTGCTTGCCCCTCACCCACTGGCTGCCATGCCAATTACCAGTACTACTCTGCCAATCAGTTGATAAGGTAATCGTGCAGAAAATAACAATAATGCTTTGTTACAAGTTGCCAATTGTCTTGTACAGTACACATTCCCTGGTTCACCTTTCTGCTATGTGGCATTGTACAAAACCTTTCCAGTCTGCTACCGTGTGTGGTGTGGGGCTGACATTTTTTCAGAAGTCACACATGCCCGACCAGGCCCAGTTCCTGCTGAACAAGTTTATTATAGTCCTGAGCCAGCTATTTCAACCTGAAAACTGACATCCTAGACTGCGAGCCTTGTAGAGAAAAAAGGCCGTATACTGGTGAAACTTAAAGATGTACTGATAAGTTAAACATTGAGTCCTTTCCTGTTTATGGTGGGGTTTGAGTGCTGACCAAAAAATATACTGCAAGAAATGAAACACTGCAAAGACAGTTGTCAGGTTCAAACCAAAATCAATTTTTAATATAAACATTGTCTTGATTTCAACAGTACATTCTAAAAGCCTAGCAATGTCACGCTTCACATTTTTCTCCAATAAAATAGGTAGACGTCTTCTGCAAAGTCACAGGTGAGCAAGTGTACATACATCAGAACCTGTCTTCTCATGTATAAAAATATTCCTATACACAACTTTATGTACAAGGAGGGAAGCATTTGACGCTTCAAAGAATTCTGCTGGGATGTGAATTTATCTGGGTTAAGGCTAGCTTTAAGCTAAGAGCAAATATTTGCTCCTTCCCCAAATCTTTTAATAACAAAAGTGGCAAAAAGCTGTCCTATCTAAGCCATGTCTGGCTAGCTTGCTGAAAACCAGTAATATAAAGAAAAAAAAATCAAAGGCACGATTTTCATTAGTTCCACATCACATTTAAAATTGTATCCAATCACATGATACTTGTTAGTACACGATGTGTGCCCACAATAAAATGTGTATCAACCACCTCACTATTGTATTCCAGAGTCATAATTATTTTCTGTGGTACTTTATACAAATGAGCTATACTATTACAATTGGTAGACAATATTGTAGGAAAGAGTAAACTTTTCATGGAAAACACATATACATCTTCAAAAATTCTCCACAATTTTCTCTTCTAATGCAGTGTTTGTTCCCTTATTTGAGATACACACCAATCTTTGACATTACAATACCACATCATGCAAGCACCAACATACACAACTGGATATCATATAACACAGTAGATTGCCTGGGATAACCAATAGTACAACAGGTTTAGTTCACGCAGGGAAGTCCAAAAAACACTGTCCTGTCAACCAGTCTCACCAGTACATATAAGTACGCTTTTGTGCCCACATCAACACGCAGATGCAACGGTGGTAGCTATTTACATTCGAGCAAGACAAAAAATGACAAAAATCACTCGTACTGTAAAGTCATTCATTCATACTTCATGGATAAAGTCTTTGATTCTGTACATCCTGAGTTGGAGCTCCTTAACATTTGGCAGCAGCATTCTAAGAATTCTATACAGCTGTCAAAGTACAAACAGTATTGTCTGCTTGCCTGCCTTTGCTATTCCTTTTATTATTTTAACCCCCATTCACCCACACAAGCCAGTTTTATTAAATTGTATACAACATCCAAGTATGCATCAGCTGTTTCACAATGATGCAGCATTATACCTCCCAAAGCTACTTCATTGGGCAAACTAGAAAAAGTCTATGTTTGGTATTGTAACGTTCAGTAAAAGGTAGAATTTTTGCAATCACCTTTAAATCAAATTTGGAAGTCAATACAAAGAATAATTGAGAACAGCTATAAATAATCTTTTAGCAGGCAAAATCCTGCTAAAATCAACTTGCATGGTTGAAAGACAGATCAACTTCCTTGATTGTTCAGTTGATGGGAGAGTGCTCTAACTGTTCAGGACCATTCCATCACTTCATAATATGATTGAATCAGTGTCATACTTCTGCCCCAGTGCAACTTGAAGCTTGGACACATCAACTTCCAGCAGTTCGGGGGCAAAGCCAGTAGGTCTCTATCAGTCTGCATCATTTAGGTCATTGTGAGACAGAGAGACTGTCCAGAGGAACATTCTCTTCATAGTACTTCAGGCAACTCACAGAATCCTTGATGGCATGGTAAATGATGTTCTTGATCTGATGGAAAACAAACAACATAACACCGTTATATCAACTTGCATCAATCATACACTTTCCTAAACCATTTAAATAGCATTGAAGAAGACCTGAAGGCAAAAAAAATCTGACATTGGTCATTACACATATAATACCTGGCACAACTCTTTGTTAACAATCATTATCATATAGCCGGACGGCGTGGACCAATCAGAGGCCCGGATACCCGTGCTGTTATTTCCCGATAACAGCACATGTGTTGTTATGGCGGAATAACAGCACATGTCGTGTTATGGCTGATACCATTATGTTATAGGGTATAGGGGCATGCGACTCTTTCTGTAAACCTTTGTAGCATTTTTCTGTCCAATAAACTTTTTTGTTTAGCTTCATTTAAACTACAATTTGCATTAAATGAAATTATCCATATTTGTTTTAAAGCGTATAATATATTCGAATGTATTTTTATGTATGTATATATATTAAAGCTGTTGTATTTCAAACAGGAATTGTGTTGATTGACAGTTTGGATAGGCTATATGATAATAATTTTAATGCACTGCCTTTTCCTCGTTGTATATGGTGTCATAACTGCATGGGCAGCTGCCATAACCACCTCATAAACCACCTCGTTCGCTTCGCTCACACGGTGGTTTATTCGGTGGTTATGGCAGCTGCTCATGCAGTTATGACACCATATACAACTCGGGGCAGTGCATTAACCCTTTATCATTACATTTGTGCCAAATGGTATGCAATAGAAGAAAGCATGGTCTGTAAACCCCACCTGCAGCTTGTCCTCATGGTTGGTATGTGTGTCAGACAGCTTTCGAAACTCTTGCGTCAGGCGGAAGCAGTGGCTGACGTGTTCTGGGGACACGAAGTCCTCCGCTACCTTTATGCAGCTGTGCAGATTCCTCACCTAGTAACAAAGACAGAGCATAATATTATGGTTTGTTCAAATTAACCATTCATTATCAATGCCATTACCTTTATTGTTGTGATCAGGCCAGGAGTGTCTTCATCAGAAGTTTGTGAAAGTACATACCTGATGGGGTGCCCCGCCTGGGATGAAGACAGCGTCCCCCAGACACTGCACGATGGTCCAGCCCTCCACACCGTACTCCTGGTACAGGCGCTTCCTGAGGGCACTGTCCAGATACCAGCTCTGGTCGTGGATGGGGTCGTGGTCCTCTGGGGAATCCTCACCCTGCTCTTCACCAACCTGACACAAGCAAACATGTGCAAGGTTAGACACTCATGCATTAAATATTGGAGAGCCTTTCCAAAACCCTGTAGCACACTCTCCCTTACTATAATACAAACTCAGTTGATCAGCACACATCATATATCCCATCCCTACCTTGATGAGGAAATCGCGGATCTTCTGAGCGTCCTTGGCAGCGTAGATGTGCCAGAGTGCTCCAGGTTTCTCTGCAGTCTCCCGTACCCGCCGCCTCATGATGTCATCACAGTCTGCCTCATCTATTGCCTTCAGGGCTTCTGTTGGGCAGAAAACAAACAATTATTTTCACAAAATTATGGGGAAAATACCAAACATCCACATGAATGGTTAACTTCATGTAGAGAATCATGACAAACTAGTTGTAAAAATGGACCAATGCTGTCTGTCCATAGACACACTTCAGACAATACTGTAGTAAGTGAGTGAGTGCACCTTGGCCAAAATTTTGCATTTCTATGTTCATTTCTATGTTAAGCATTTGCATGTTTTTCTCAAGGTGGATGGGGTAACATGTTCCATATATTGTTCCCTACAATATCTCAACATGTGATGCATCTGAGAAGTTTAAGTAGGATACATGAACTTGTTAGTCATACCTCTCTCATAATCAATGCTGCTATTCCCCTCATCATCAGAATTGGGGATTCCAACATACACCATCACATTCACCGCATCAGAGATGTCCAGATGGAGATTGGTGGTGCCTTCACTAGGATGTGCAGCTGAACCTGAAGGACAGAGCAGAGTGGTATCAAATACATGTATTACAGAATTGTAAAGGTCATTCCTCCAAGACAGACCAGAGGTACCTGCACTGGTGCAGGAAAAGTAAAAAAATACATTCACCACGTTAACCTGCATTTACATTCTTTGTTTTGAATTTTACTTTTTAGCAGAAATGCTGTACATTTGTATCTGCAGTCTGTAATTTTACCTGCACTAACTTCAATATGCAGGTGCTATTTCAAACCCTGTAGACTAATACATGTACTAATAGAATTATATATCAAATTCTGTGTTTACCATAGGCATTGTACATCTTGGGTCCGAGGTCTGGCCTGACAAAGAAATCAGGAAGTCTGGAGGCCAGGTTGAGTTTGCCTGTTCTACGTGTGTACTCTGGTAGGGGGAGTGCCTGCATCAAATCCTGGAATCTGTAATGGAACAAAACATACATGTATTTCATAAGCTGTTAAACACATGCCTGAGTTTGTAATGGGCTCCCATTTTCTGTGTGAAAAATAGTGACTTAAAGAGAAAGAATTGACCATGAAAGCCTAATTTTTTTGTCATCAATTCAATTCTGTACACCATCAATTCCAGCAACCATCTCTTCCAATAAATAATTCTCATGCAAGCAAACTCTGCAAGTCAAAAATAAAACTGTAGGATGTCAAAATGAAAAGCAATGAAATAATTCTACTGAAAAGCACATACCTCCTTGGTAGCATTTCGCTGAAATCCTCTCCAGGAGGCCAGTCTTTCAGCTTCAGTAACATGGTATCATTAGTCTCCTCATCCTTCAGACGCTCTGCAGGGAACATACAAACATTTATTCATTCAGTCATTAAGATTTACCACATTTGTTTCCCTAACCTGACTTACAATGGGTGAAGCATGGCCAAACAAGAAGAAAGTGGTATATTCTAATCCCCTTGGGATAAATGTCAGAAATAAAGTACATTCTGACAAACTTAACTTTATTTGTTATCAGAGATTATTCAATTCGGTCCAACCTTGTTACCAAGTTTTCTTCAGAAATGACCAGCCACCAGATTTGCACTTACAGTTGAGCACAGCAAAGCAACATACATTTTGCACAACTACTTGCAAGATTTATCAATTAAAATGTGTGGTAATATATTATATCCATTATAAACTATAAACAGTGCACTGACTACATGTAGAAAACACCACTCACTGGGGATGTCTTCGAAGCCATCCCAGAATTTCTTCATGGCAATGTTGGGGATGACATTTCCGTTGCGACAGTTGACCAGGTCATTCTCCAGCTCACCAAACTCACGGCTGAAGGCCTCAGGACGCCAGATGTTGGAGTTCAGGTACTTGTTGACTCCAGACACTAGAACAGGCTGGGACAGAACAAGCAGAAATCCTTGAGTTTATTTTATAAAATGACTCGTGTTTGATTAGTAATCATTTTCTGCAGGACATCCTCATATTCAATTTGTGTGCAATTGGCTACATTTTAGTCTCCTAAGTTATACATTGTACATCTAGGGAAAAAGATGCCATATGGAATACACCTTGAGCAACCCACTTCACTTATTGAAAAGACCAGTGGTGCTTCCTGGTGTAAGTGGCTCAAAACCATTCTGGATAAGACAACGATATCTGACTCACCATGCCCCTCTTCCACTGCTCCTGGAACAGCTTCAGGTTGTTGGGGTTTTTGGGATCATGTAGCCTGAGGAGTCTGCCCTCACACAGCCAGGAGTGGGGCACGTCTGGGAACCACACACTGGTCTCCGTCAGGGTGTGTCTGGGGACAGGCTCGTCCACAGACGGGATCACCGCGTCGTACACCGGCGTCTGGTGCATGGACGTGCCTTTCCTCACTGCCGGGGAGTGGACCATCGGGATGCTCTGTTCTACCACTGTAGAGATGATCTCGTCAAGTGTACTGGTAATCAGTCGACTTCTCTTCTGCCCACCCACAGGTACAAAGGCATTTGCCTTCTTCCCTAGGTCACAGCTCTCTGCCTTCTGTGTCAGTAGTTCACGCAGGGTCTTACATCCGATAGCCTCATTACTCAGCTCCTTGGTGTCCTTACCAGAGCCACCTGATTCTCTATTTAAAGGAGATTTGCTTGTCCTGTCAGTAGAGGAATCATCGTCTGTACTTTTTGAATTCTGGAATGCCTTAGTAGATCCTTTCTCAAATGAGGTATTGAAGTCAACCTCCATGTCCCCTTCCCTTGACTCCCCAGCATTCAATTTGCACTGCATGTTGGCTACGTCTGCCAGGGTGTGGAGCCCGAAGGCAGGGGCAGCTGGTGCAGATGACTTGGCTGTTTCCTGCGTGGGGCGAGACCCTGATGTAGAAGACGGGTTAGCGTCACCATCCGTGGACACAGCTGGTCGAGAGTCCTTGTCTCCATGAAGTGTTGAAGACGGAAGGCTGCTGGTCAACTTACCATCCAAACCTCTCTCCCGCCTTTCTCTTTTTGCGTCCATCTCGAGGGCAGCATTCCACAGAAGCTGCAAAACACACAACATGCAGTTAACATGCATGTTCATTGGTGTTTAAAAAGATGACTTTAAAAAGTCAGTTAAGTCTTCCAATAACATGGTCAAATTGCATAGGTGTTATGTGATATGTAAACATATGACATTCTCATCTGCATGTAAAAGGTTTAAGCTGTGTGAATGTGTAAAGCCATGTAACAGAACAAATGCAGATGTAGTTCAACTTACCTGTGAGATGCCATTCTGACCAACTGATGACCTCTTCTTTCCCAGACAAAGGCAGTTGGACTTGATGCTCCATTTGTCTCGAACTTCATGAATAAGCTCGCGGAGATCATCAAGAGCTGTGGGACAAAGAGAGAAACTTTTTTTAAAGACCTGACAGTACTGAGCATCTGTGGCTAAATGTAGCACACAAAAGTTGTGGTTTGACTGCTAACATATAGTAATATAGCACAACTGGGAACACTGGCCCAATACTGAAAAACAGATCTATACATCAAAGCTTGACCATAAAGCTTGACTCACCAGTGCCTGGGATGATCTGTGTCAGCATGAGATTCTCAGGTCTGTGATGCTGGTGTTTGATACACTCTAACCAAGGGTCATCATCATCCAGTTCATCTACAAGAAAATGTGTTGAAATCCATGTTAATATTTCAAAATGTGACAAATGCAAATATGAGGCTTTACTAAAGAGATGCACGTCTTTTGATTTGTTCTACTGGTTCCACTTTTCCTCAGAGACTCATTACAGTCACTGATAAAATACAGCAGATGAAAATCATCTCTGTGAAACATCTGATTCTGTTCAAGTTCAATATAAAGTAAACCAAACCAAGACCACCGCATTTTTACCTACGTTTACACCTAACTACGTTCTTAATACTTTCCCACATGCCTATAACAGATCAGAGCTCTAATACTCTATAAAGAGAGGAAGATTGATTAAAGTTTCTGTGGCACTTACCGTCTGTGAGAGGAGTGTTCTTCCTGGCCCTGAAACAGTCCAGACACACCACAAAGCCACACTTCTCACACACCCAGTGGATGTTGAAGAGGGTCGTGTCACACTGGTCACACAACTCGCGCACCCCTGTGACTGCCCTCTTCCAGGCTGGTTTGGCTAAAATTAGAACACAGCAACAATGAGACTACTGTTGGCCTTGTTGCATACATGTGTGTGTAGGAAATCATTCACAAGTACTGAATTATAAATGTATAAATTGGTTCCAAAAACAAACATTTCTCCTTACATAGTGACATTACCAATAAATATTGGACCTAATTTATATTAAACACATCAAACCAGTTTAACCATATTCATTCCAGAATCAATTAGATTTTCTCCGAAATAATTCCATTCCAAACCATATCATCTTAAGCTTCCGTTCAACTCTTCAATTAGTCACTAGTCTTAGCTATTACAGCAGTTAAGTCATAACAATGGCTTTTTTCAAAAAGTTGAGCATACCATCATTGGTACCCCAGTTCTTTGCCACCTGCTCTGAAGTGACCAGCTCACAGAACTTGTCCCCCACCAGAGTGATTATGTACTTGGCCTCATCTGCTCGTAATGCTGGCTCCACATCTGAAAACACAGAATAGGGTAAAGTGTAACATTTCTGTATCAGTGTGCATTGAATGCACAAAACATAATCAGGTCAACTAAACTATTTGTCATTAAAGGATGCTACAACAGGAAGATGTCTTCCATAATGAATATAGTGTAGAAAGAATTATTCTGCCAAGTCAGTAGCCAGAAATATTTCATCCAATTTTGTGTTGAGAGACAATGCATTTTTGGTTTGCAGAATTTTCATTCTCTATCTAACCTATGAAAAGTGAGTTTCAAAGCAGGAATGTTTACCTTTCCAGTGTGGAATCCAAAGGTCCATGTCACTCTTTCCACAGTCATCTGGGTCACAGAAACCTCCGACCATGAGGAACCCTTTCTGGCTGTATTTCAACCTGAGATAATCAAACAGATTAGCCTCAGTGAACAACTACTGACATCCTGAATTCAATTTCATAAAGGCATTGTGGACATTATGATCTACAATGCCTCAAAAATTGACACACATTCATACATTGTATCTACATACAAATAAGCCTCTAACCTTCTAAAAGCATAGAAGCGACAGAAGATGTTCATGCCCTTCTTTATCTTCTGTGCGGCAGACATGCGGCACTCCCGACACTTCATGAGTTTGGGGGTGACGTCAGAACAGGGTCCGTCCTGGGTGAAGGACAGTCCTAGCTTCATCAGCTTGCTCTTGCTGTACTTCTGATGGGCCTGAGACATGGTCAGGAGGCACGCTACCTCTGCAACATTCACAACAACATTCATATTACTCACACCATAAAACCTAAGATATTAGTCTTTACTGAAGAGGTTGTTTCCTTGTTTTCATCATATGAAGTTATCAGGGGAAATGCAGCTTTGGATTACATACAAGATCTGAATACATCACGTCAATGATAGAGATATTAAACAAATACTGTTGGCACACAACAACTGAAACAGCAATTTTTCCATATCTAAATATGTTCTTTATGTTACAAATCAAAAAGTTTGGTTCCTGGGCATTGTTGGTCACAATGTCAACATGTGAAGTTTAAGGTTTGGAAAATGCATTTACCTTGTTTCTTGTTATTGGCGGTGGTAACAGAGGCAGAAGTGGACTTCTCAGCTTTTCTGTTCTCCTCGGGAAGTTCTGCAGGTTCCTCTTTAATCTTCTTCTTCCTGCCCCGCTTCTTTTTCACAGGTTCTTCAGAGGTGCCCTCATCCTTTACATCAGACTGAAGAGACCCATTGAGGACATTAGAAACTGATAACCGTAATGTTACACAATGGCTTAACAAGGTACACACAATGGCTTAACAAGGTACTGTTCTCATATGCTTTTGGAAAACCTTTCAAACTTCTAAAATAGTTAGGGGAGAGCTCAAGCTGATTTGTCAAGTGCCCAGATTTGTATGGTATTTCTAAAGATGTAACTTGCGAGCACATATAAAAATTCTAAAATAAGCTAGAATTCGAAACGAAATGCAGTTTAAGTAAATAGGAATAGAACAAAATAGGATGCATGATAATATACTGATGAATGATTACAATGAAAGTCAGACCAAAAACATAAAGTGCAGTTTCTGACCTTTCTCTTCTTTATTTGCCCATTGGGTTTTTTCTTGGTACTTGTCTCCCCGTCCTCATCTCCATCCTCAAACCTGTTCCTACTGTCCTCCTTCCCTTTCCCTTGTTCCCACATCTTCTTGGCAGACTCAGCCTGCTGCTCGGGAGTGCAGCCACATGGTTTGGGCTTGTGGCAGCAGCGAGGATCCTGGCGGGACTTCTTACCAAAACATTTTCTGTCAGGACTTGAAGCCTGGCCCCTGCAGAAAAAGAAGGCACTTTTTTCAAAAATACTGAAAGGATGTTTCAAAATCTTTTGTGCAGTACCCTATCAAAATTTTAGCAGCGTACTTTAATTCAGAAACTATGCTTTGGAAAGCTTGCTAACCTGTGTTTCTTGAGGTAGCTGATACTAGCGTTCTTTTTCCTTAGCTTGTGCTTGTTCTTTTCTGCTGTGGGGTTTTCTCCATTGGTGGTTCCTGTATCTTCAGCACCATGTTCTTCTCTCAGTGTTTGAGCTTCTGCAGACATTTCCTGCTTCATTGCCATCTAACAAAAGTAATAAAATATCACAGCACTGTTAGGAATCTGTTTTCACAAAGTCATTTCTGAAAACAACTTTTCTCTTGCAAAATATGTAAACTTCTGCACACATATCACTCAAATTATATCATGAGGAATTCTAAATCATTTAAGTCGCCCAAGTGCACAAAACATCTTGCCAGTTTAACATGCTTGAATTATGTCACCAATATCATAGAAATGACTTTACAAGAAAACAACAACAAAGAAATCAACCCACATTTGATAAGTCTTGTTTCCTCCTGTTTTCCTGTAGGCTCCACTTCTCTACGTTCCCATTCTGCTGTTCAAAGTCCAAACTTCGTGTGATGGAATCACTTGGATTCAACTTCTTCCCAAGGACTCCTTTTACCGGTGATTCTGCCATATTGATGTAACACTGCCTGATGACTTCATTGATCCGACTGCACAGAGTCTGTGTTTTCTCACCACTGTTGGCAATATCTTTCCCTCTATCCCCATCTTCAGGCGAACGGGAGTTGTTGCTATCTTCTCCTGAATGTCTTTCAAGCCAGGCCTTTTTGATTTTATGGTGGCCAGACTTATTGGGTGACAAGTTGCTGTTGCTGGAGTCACTGTCGCTGCCACTTGTTCCATTTGGAATGTGTCCTTTTGGGGCTGCATTAACTCTTGACTCAAACTGCTGCATCTTTGCTATGATCCGCCTGCTGTGGTCCACAGTGCTTTGCGTTCTTATCATCTCTCCACTAGGAGACATGATGACAGAGGTTCCTTCAGGTCTCTCCAGTTTTACCTTGTCTGCCATCAGCATGGCTGATACACTGTGGCTACCTGCTGATTTGGAGGCAGCAGGAGGTGATGTTTGGGCAATAAAGGACTTGAATTGTTCTTCAAATGGGCTTCTTGCCTCGAAGGCATTCAGGTTCATGGGTTCATGAGATCCTGAACTGGCTGCTGGGAAGAGTTGAGATTTACCAACCCGAGCACGTTGCTTCTTTGTTGTTGGGTGGTTGGTGTGGGGGTTGTTCCTTTTCTTGGGTGATGAAGAGGAGTCTGAAGCCTTGGCTTCCCCAACTGGATTCTGCACAATAACAGAAGGCTGAGAGACAATCACACTAAGATGTGATATGGGATAGGAAGTACTTCCATAGCCCGTTCTTGGAATAGAAGTGGAGGAGGGCGCCTGATGATCTGTATTCTGTTGTGAAAAGGAGGATGAGGTGGGGGTACTACCGGGATGCGATGTAGACTGTGTTCCTCCAAGGGGCTGCATCATTGCATTGGACAGTTGATGGGCGGACGCTATATTAAGACCCAGGTCGTCGTTTGTTTGAATAGCGACAGTCATCTTCTGAGTTTTGGAAGAAGTGGCTGATGTGGAAACTGGTCTTGGGTTAGTGAGGGGTGGAGGACAGCCAAACGTACCTTTTCCTCCCTCCTCTTTGTGGCTAGCTGCCAAGGAGCTACTGTGTGACCATGGTCCATGTGAAACAAAGTGCTGGACAACTGGAGTGGAATGAGGGTCCCTGCTAGGAGGTGATCCACTCTTAACCACTGCTTGGGGTTTCTCCAGCTGGGCTGATCCAGACAAACGTTTCACTAATGGTGGTACAGGCGGCAATGGGGCCTGTTGTTCTAACTGTGGCCTCCTTGTAGAGACCTTGTCCTGTGCTGACGATTCTTCATCCTGGACCTCTGCTTTTTGCTCAGGACCAGTCCTGGTGTCCTGGGCTTGTGAGCCATGACTGGAAGTGCCGCCGGCAGCGGAGGAATGAATGACAGAGGACGTGATGGAAGGAGACATCCCCGTGCTGTGGGGGAAGGGCCTGTAGCCTGGTGGAAGCACTGGGTCGTAGTTAAACGCAGATTTAGTTGCTTTGAAAGCAGATGTGTGTTGAAAAGCACATGGTGTTGAGGATGACTCCAACTTGACCGAAGTACCTGAAGGTCTCCTTTCAAGTCTGTTCAGACTTTCTGCCCTCAAACTCAACCCTTCTGACCTTGCTGGAAACAGTGAAGATGAAGTTGTTGCTGTTGTGGATGACGGGTGCATGCCGTACAGTTTCCTGCTGGCATCGGCTACAGCTGATGCTGGCCGCGGCATGACCAGGCTGTCATGTTGCTGGCGTTGTTGTGGGGGGTTGGGTGCCCTGTCATGTTCTGGTCCTTTTGCTGTGGTTGGTTGTGGTCTTGCTGGCTGGCCGTGAAAGTTACCAGGTGGAGTGACACTAACACAGGATGGCTGAAAACATAAAGTGAAAGAAATCAATGGATTTGATCTTTTTATCACCTTGCAATCAGTCGTAATGGGACAAGCACTACAGGAAGTTTTCTGATCATGATCTTATCAAGGCAATTTGTTAGGCAACACTGATGGTCGGGTTCATGTACACGTTAACTCCTCAAAATTGAACATGTCCTGACAAGATCAAACAACACTGATAAATTCATGAATCAAATTATCTTGGAATTTAAAGATGCAAAATTGGGAAATCAATGGCCAGAAGATTCAATGTCTTGATGTCCTGAACGAAATAACCATATAATAAGTCACTGACAGAGGTTTACCTTTGATGGCTGTGGCCTAAGGGGGTCTGGGTATGGTTTGTGTAGGACTGCTGATGCAGAAGGACACCTCTGCTGCGTCTCGCGGATCAAACGCTCCCTTTCCCGCTCAAAGTCTGCCGGTGTTTGTCGGAGCCAGGGCTGCTGGGCGTAGGTGTGCTGCCATGCCATCTGCAGCTGGACTGGACTCAGGCCCTGCAGCTGGGGATGCTGGGCCAGCAGGGCCTGATGGGATATCCCCGGCAGACCCATCTGCTGTAGCTGCTGCTGCTGCTGTGCCATGATGGCCAGGTTCTTGGCTGCATAAGGGTGGTCCAGATGGATGCTGGGAATACCATTAGGGTTTCTGAGAAGGTGGTGAGCCAGGGTTGACGGGTTTGCCATCAGGTAGGCCTGATAGTACGGATGGGCCAGCATTGCTGCCAACTGCTGCTGCTGCTGCTGCTGCAGCCTTCCTATGTCTGTGTGGGAGGGGTTTGGAGTCACACTGGAATGTGGTGAATGCTGTAGGGAAGGGTGGGCATGTGCAGGTGATTGTGCATGGGGGTGAGCTGGAGATGGCACATGAGGGTTAGCTGGGGAGGGGACATGGGGATGGGCCGGTGAGGGGACATGGGGATGGGCTGGTGAGGGGACGTGTGGATGGGCCGGGGAGGGGACGTGGGGGTGAGCAGGGGAGGGGACATGTGGATGGGCAGGGGAAGGTACGTGTGGGTGGGCTGGAGACTGGACATGTGGGTGTGCTGGAGAGGGGACATGTGGATGACTAGATGAGGGTGGATGTGGGTGTGTGGAGGACGGCAAGTGGGAATGGGCTGCTGCTGACCCATGTGAAGTTGCCTGTGGACCATGCGGATGCGAGGTGGCAGACCCAGGGTGGGAGAACCCCCGTGACTGGTTGTGCACCAGGTGCTGGTGCTGTATGGAGCTGATGTGGGTCACCTCCACATCTTTTGACTTCTCCAAACTGGGGTCCCTCCACACACGCACCTCCTCATTCTTGTCTACCACAAGTGGACTTTTCTGAGAGTCCAGCTTTGTCTTCGGTATGACAGGATGGAACCCTCTCCTTTCCCCTTCTTCTTTAGTAGGATTTGCTGTAGTGACAGGGGGTGCCTTGTTGCTGCTGCTGTTAGTGGGCAGCATTATTTTCTGCCTGTTTGATACTGTGGGAACAGGAAACTCTTGACACATGGATTCAAGTGCCTGCTGTGCACTAGGAGTAGGAAGTCTTTCTTGCAGTAGTTTCTGTTCTTCTTGCCTTTTGCTAAACTCAGCTTGTAATTTCATCTCTTCCCAATTGGTGACGTCACCCCTATGTCTGCGATCCTCCCCTTTTATGGGCTCATCTTTCCTTGTTTGTTTTTCATGTAGTCTAAGGTCTTCAGCTTTTCGAGGCTCTCCTTGTATTCTAGGTTCATCAAACAGCCTTGTGTCTTCATTAATTTGCAGTCTCTTTTCAGCATAAGTCCTTGGCTGTTCATGTGTTTTGGTTCCTTCAGATATCTTGACAGTACTCTCAATGACTTCCTCCACCTCCTTCCTCTGACTTTTGTTCAATTTTCCCTCGGTAGGATTATTAACCCTAGGATTGCTCTCCTCAATGGCTGGCCCTTGATTTTTCACATCTTTCTGGACAGGAGATGTAGCCACCAAGTCTGTTTCTGAATTCATGCATTTGGCACTGTCAACTTCTACTTCTGTTTCACTTCCAGTGTTGCTCTCCACTTTTTCTGGTTCCTTTTTCTTCTTTGGAGGAGGCCTTGGTCTTGACTTTGTTCGACCTTTCTCACCAACAGATGCCTTGGGCTTCTGTCCTCTGTCAGTTACCTCAGGTTGGGCCTGAGATTGGTCCATGGTTCTGTCATCAGATATTGACTGAGATCGAGCCCGTTTCTGTGGAGAGTCCGGCTTCTTTTCCTCAGTGTCCATGCTTTCACTGGACTTGCGCTTCCGCATCTTGGTCATGGGATTTCGTTGTCTGCTGGAGGATTCTGCTGTCACTGTTTTTTCTGCATAAAATGGAAAATTAAAAGAAAGGAATGGTTATTCAGTGCTGAAGATGGGAAAAACGTGTGCTTGAATGTAGAGAGTTATATAGGCTTAACTATTCTACTAGATCTTCATCTTCTTCTAGATTGCATACCGTATAATATGCAAGCAGGATGCATTACCTATGATACAGGTACTGTAACTTAATGAAAAAGACTGTATGCCTCAAATACAAGAGCACAAAGCATGATTAGGTCAATAAGTATGGATAGAGAGGATAGGGAGTTATCAATGCTACCAAGAACTCACTTTAATTAGTGGCTTAATTACATGTACCTGTTTTCTCTTGCTTATCTAAGTCGAGATCAGGTGGAAGACTGCTGTCGGAGCCTTTCCGACGAGGCTTTCTGATTTTGCTGGGCTCGACCTGTCGTGTAGAGGGTGTGCTGACTACTGCGGATGGCTGACTACTGCGGGTCCGTGTGTAATGAGGGTTGCCAGAGTTCTGCGAGGCTGTTGATGTGGTAGTCTGGGTACAGGATCGTCGCCGAGGAGTTATACCTACATTTTCACCCTTCAGTAGGGATTCCAATACTGTAATAGAAAAGAAAGATCTTCTTCATAACTCTGATGACAGCAAAGGAACCTGTCATGCAGGTAGAAGTATGGAAACTGCAATCTTTCAAATCTAATTTAAGCCACACCAGTTCAATTTGTTGCTTCTCAAATCTTTTAAAAACAAAAACTGGAGCGACAGAGCAAAAGCATAAAGATGAGCCAGCAACTGAAGGTAGATTTTGAATATTATGCACCCAAGTTGCTAGACAAAGCAAATTGTAGTAGTTTCCTGCAGTACCACTTAATGCTACTAGATGTCACTCTTCTATGAAATACATTATCATATTTTATATGAAATTGTTTTATCACTCACCAACAACTGAACATTAAAATATTATGCACAGACAAAGCCTCAAGCCACCTTAAGTCTGTGGCATACATAAAACCACATAGTTCAGAAATCTATTCATCTTGTTGGACTGGTATGCTTGCTTGAGTTTTTTGACACCAGGTTAATATTTTCCAGACCGATGGTTACCGAAATGTTGGCTGAATAAAAGAATTGGTTGCGTAAAAAAAGAGTCTTTTTATACAACAATCACCATAGCTTACCATCATCCAGGAATGTCATCTGCACCAAAGCAGGGTCCACTTCATGTGTCTCCAGTACTGTGTCATTCATAACAGTCAACTCCTGCAAAGAACAGTACAAATCAGATATTTATGCTGCTACACCCAATTCACCCTTTGGGTATTTCATAAAAAAGAATACAAAGGAATCTCTGTACTATTGTAGATCTTAAAATATTCACAGCAATTTTATTTTTTCAGTTTTTGCCAAGCGCTCTCCGCTGTAGATTTAAGATGTCACAAATGAACATCTCCAACGAATTACTAGTGTACTACAGAAATGTTGTACACGTAACTGCAAATTTAACCAGCGGGAACCAAATTTCCCATTCTAAAGCTAAATTGATTCCCCATGAAAATAAATGAAATTACAGTACTAGATCCTACTTTATTTGGGTCACCTACTTAATTACCCAGGTATCACGTTTTAATCTTACCCTATAATCCTATAAGAGATGACACAGGGCTATACCATTTACAACATTCATTAGATTTACAATATAGTTTATAGGATTATATTGTACCACATTGACTGCTATCACAACCTGACACATGATCTTACTTTACTCCCTCCTACACCTCAAACAATAGCTCTCCTTTTGACTACTAAGAAGCTGGGCTAAAGACCAAAACATTGAACTACATTTTCAGACAAATACACTCCTAAGTTTCTGTGCCAAACTTGACTTGATGAGGGTCTTTTGTTGCCCAAGTCTTGGGTAAATACTCTGACAATCCAGAAATGCCAATGGAGCCACAGTTATTATTGTTGCTGTGGTCACAGTAGATGCAGCAATTCAGGCACAAGCAAATCAAGCTCTGTTAGGGATTCAAAGGCTGTGTTTGTTGGAGCTATTCAGACATGTTGAGACATTAAATGACACTTTACAAAGTTCAAACAGGTAAAAGATCTCAATCCTAACATATTTCAACAGAAACGAAGATTCATGGCCATACATACTCCGAATATAAGTTCATAAAATACTGTCTACCAAAGTGAGATCAAGAAAAGGATTGTTTACTTACCCTGCTTAAAGGATTGTGTGCGGATATGACTGCTGTGAACCACTGTGTGGCCGAGTCCAGCCGGTACACTTTCACTCTGTAGCCAGTCAGAGAATAGGGCGCTGGAATAGGGAAAAACAAAACAGGCATCAATACAAGTACAGTCAAAACTGACCAAGATGACTACTCAGGGGAACAAAAAAATCTGGTCAGGTGATAACTATACTATAGACAGGCAGGCTTCTTAGTGGTTGTGCCAATGAGTACAATTACCTAAGGGGTGACCAAAAAGGGTTCTGTAAAACTATGCAAAGCTGGTCAATTGTACAAGTTTGTGATTGTGTATCTCCAATGTATATAAACGTGTTATTACAGTATGTTTCAAGCTACCTACAGAAAAACTGTTAATTGGATATGCTGCCATGAAATGTGTTTCTCATTATACCCAATGGCACAGAAAAATCGGCATATTAGACCCAGCGACTGCATGACAGGATGCCATCATTACCTTACATACTGTACATGTACAACACTTACAGCTAAGGAGTAACAAGCACATGCTATTCCTTTTGTGTAGAAAATACCTACCTTGTTACTCAGCCTCGGGATATATCCAAGTGGATACCCACATCAGCCATAGGAGACACAATATGCTGACCTACTTCCAATCGACACAGGCATGCCAACATGTCTTGGCAGCCAAACAGACTGGTTTTATCTTGACATAAGCCAGTTGGTATTTTCCCCCAGCACAAGTAGTTACTTACGTTAGATGCAACATATGCTTCGATATAACCTACTGAACAAAATATACAGGGGCCAGTAAAAATGTAAAATTTAACGATTCTCAAGTATTCTCGGACAAGAAATGAACTTCTGAATGGATGCTACAGAACTCATTTTATAGAAAAATGAAATGACAACATAATGACACTTTTACAAAATTTTTAAAATAGCTGCATTATTTGTGGACTGGCATCAGAAAATCTTGTTTGGAACAATAAAGGTTTAAGTACTTTTACATGCCCTGAGAGAGATTTCCACCAGACAACAGTAAACTGTTGTGCGAGTATTGTTTTACACAGGTGCGACTATTCTTTACACACGTTTAGGACGTATGGTGGGGCACCTGTGGTGCAGGATTGCATGGCAGTGCATGCTGTGACCCAAAGTGACCTTTTATGACCTTCTGACATTTGACTCCTTATAGCTCTTCTATACAGTGTACCTGTATTTCATGTGTTCTATCTTTGTGTGGATCTGATGGGGGGGGGGGCTGCACATATCATTCTCACCTAGCCAGCCACCAGAATGCTAATACATGTACCATCCTTGTTTCTGCCATGGCTTTACCATGGCCTTCTCATAACGTTTTTATCTTGATAAGAAAAATCCATCTAACAAGTACATGTACAGTAAAAAATTTGTGTGGACTTAATTCCTTTTTAAAACTGTAACTACATTTAAGTACGCCAAAAAGCAGTTAGTCAAGCAACTGGATATGATTTTGAATATGATTTCAAAATCATATCCAGTTGCTTGAGTAACTGCTTTTTGGCGTATCGTATTACCTGGATGTCTAACCTTCATCGACGTACATTTAAGTATATACAAAGCAAATGTATTGAGAAGTAAACAATACAGGGAAAGCATCTGGACCCTATCAATATCATGCCCATGTTCTTTCATATCAGCAAAGGAAGGAAATTCCTTGACAACTTGTATCCTGCTAATGGGGAATTCTTGTCACTGTCACTAGGCAGGTAAAACAGCTGTCATTTGCAGCTATTAACCTCATCCATGATCGAAACAACTGGAGATGGAAAACTTCCGAAAAGAACCAGACACAAAAAATTTCCAAGAACTGGGAAGGGAGTAGTCTTGGCCAAGTTGCTTAATGCTTGCATCTATGGGACAAATTTTCAGGACTGAGGAAAAGTTGTCACTATGGCCAGGTGGTCACTTTGACGAGTATGACTGTATCATTCTGTTCCCCAAAAAAGTCTAAGGAAATGCACCTATGACAAAAGATGGTAGCTTGTATGTTACCTCTCAAAAGAATGTCCTGAACTTTCTGTTCCTTCACCCAATCCTTGATCTCTGCACGGACGTGTGGGTAGTCTTTTAACGCTGGCTGCAGACTGTCATCTTCCTCCTGCAGAAACACGACAAATACATACATTTAGGCTACAAGTTATATGAACTCATTACAGTAAATAGATTCTCTAATTATGCTGACCATAGACCTACTGACAAATGGCATTGAAAACATTACCTTTTTGGCCAAAGCAATAATGGGATATTTGTGACATTGCAAGGTTCAGAGGTGCTTCAATCATGTTTTACATAAGATCCCATGCCTGGAATCATCTTCTTAGACCTTTTTTCTTGAAGTTCACAGTGAGTGTTTTGCAAATTGGATTGAACCACAATTGTTCTTGATTTACAACTGAAAACTAAATGAATTTTTCAAAGATTTTCCAATACCACTGCAATAGATTTCATTCTTGAGAAAAACAACAAGCAATATACAAGGGATAAGAGTAATTTTGGGGTAGGAATAATTTTGTTAACTGTATACCATGCATATTTGCATATGGGCTAACCCTATATCAGGTGTTGTTACCATTCACCTTGGTATGCAAGGACCATGTTCCACCAAGAAAGCCAATTCAAGAAAGGTCAAAGTTCATCTCACTCTAGGTGCTTTTGGCTACAACAATCCCGAATGCCATCATGTCTTCATAATTATTGACAAAATCAGTAGTTTTGCAAAGAAACCGAAGACTGGTAAATTTTGTCTTCTCAAACTTAAGTAAGGGAAAGGACTCTCACTATATTCAGCTGCCAAATTCTATGTAATAACACTTTCAAAAATTTCTTTGTATGAAGAAATGTCAGGATGAACTTGGTACTTACAGTAAGTAATGCAATGAAAAGACAGCAGAAAGAATTGATCACATAAAAAGTGACTGCTGCTAAATATCAACCATCCCACAACAATATTCCACACAATACCTGACTTATTGTTTTGCTGGGAGAACAATGGCTTCAAAACCCTACATAATTGGGGATGAAAGCCCAGCTCTTTGTCTGTCCCCAGCAAATAACCCTGTGTCTGGCAGCAACTCTGGCAGGTAATCAATATCATCCCTGAACCAAGCAAGCCCTGACCTTGAGGCTCTCCAGGAGTCTCTCAGTCTCATGTTACCAGGAATAACATGCTGTAAACACTGCCACAGATCAGCTTTAAATATCGTTCTCTTGAGAGTCAACTAATACATGTACTTTGCTTTCACACTTCTTCACAAAGAGACCACACCTGAGGATTACATGTGGCAAAAACGATCTGTCCCACGTCAACCTACGCACGTCCCCTGCTGTAGGACAGTTTTTAGCGTGTTAGAAGGATTTACAAACGTGTGCCCCAGTCGATATATGTGTAAAAAGGGAACACTGTCTTCATACTGATCATCGTGCATCAGGAAAATGCCTCATGCAAATCAGGCTTGGCAACCCCCTTTCACAGCCTCTGCAGACATTGTGCTCTCCCAATTCCATCAGCCTTATCTTTTCTGGGCCACAGCACACAGCTGTCAGACTGGCAAGGTCATGCATTCACCCACCATTTGACAGGAAGCACCTCACCTACTAACTAAATATGCCCTGCTTCAGCACTTGTCAACTACAGTACCGGTTTAATAACTAAATTTTCTTATCTCTCCATGAAAAAATGGAGGTTGGAGGGTATATTTTCAGATGTGTGTATGTGGTTTGTCTCATTGTGTGTGTCATCAGGATAATTCAGGAATAGCTGGATGGATTGCTGTCATATTTGGCTTGTTGGTAGGATGTGACAAAAGCTGGAAATGATTAGATTTTGGGCCCCCAGGCGGCTTTCCCAGGTATTGCTACAGAACTCCCGGTTTTGACACCTTGTTTTTCAGACTTGCTATAATCATGTCTTTGGGTGGTAGATAAAAGGAACAACCAATTTTTGCAATGAAATTATGCAAAATAGGACTGTTACTATATTTTTGTTGGGCAAACTCCCATTCAATAATACATTAACAAGTATGTACATGTACATATAAACATGTCTTCTCTTTACATTGCATACTAACAAGCAACAAAACAATGTGAACAATCTTTACATAACTGATGCTACCATGGTAGTGGAGTATAAAGGTTCAACCTTTAAACACGTGTAGCTTCTCATAAGATCGAATATAATCTTGGTCCGTGAGAGTTCTTTCAGAAATTTTCCCTTATTGTGGTAACAATACAATATGTAAGGATAGACAACAAGACGCAGCCAACACATTACAACCACACATTTGATCTAATGGACATTTGCAGTCACAAAACTCTGCTAGAATAAAATCAATACTGAACTCTACCCCTTATTTACCATTCACACACAAATTAGGGCATGTTTACCTGATATGGTCTGGTCTCCTCATGCTGGACAAAGTCCCTGCAGAATAGTAAGGAGAAGAAAAGGACATTAGCCACATGCTCGTAGGTAGGTAAAACCATGTAACAACCATAGACTGTGATTGAGAACTGAATTACATGCTCCCATTCCACCGCACCTAATCAGTGATGCAGGGAAAATGGGGTCAATACATCAGAACTGAATTGCTCATTTGTTATACCCATTTACTTGGGAAATGACAATTATCCTTTGTGCAACATGAATAACTGCCAACTGTTACATGGAATCATATTCCCTAAAATTACAACTGGCACATTTTTTAAATCAATATTTTCATAATTATTCTGAGTACAATACAGCGCCACTACCACATACCCAACATAATCAGCAATATCTGTGTTTTTTAAAAACCTAATTCTTGTAGATATGTTACAGGAATTTCCACCATAGGCTTGTGTAATTCTTTCAAAATATCCACGCTGGAAATCAAGAAACCTGCATACAGGTATAAGTAAGATACTAGGTGTTATCTAGATCATGTTGATAGCATTCACATGTTCATGCAAATGTTGCTATACCTGCAACATGGTGGCCTAGATTTCCATAAACAACGTTCTGTAACAAATATGCAATCACACATGTTGTATAAGTATCAGACTCTTTTAAGAGACAACAAATCTTTCATAACACCATACAGGTTCAACCAGACATGTCTGATTCGTAGCAGCCTGGGGATATTATCATACAAAACACGTACACAGCTGCAACACACACATCTCCCACCCACACCCGCAAACCTACAGACAGCTCTGACAGCCATCTTACACTTCACTGCTGGAAAAACCATTTACCATGGACTGTTCTGACAATATCAGAGCAGTGGAAGGATTGGAGAAACTGCCGCTTTCCCGATGCAAGCAAGGGTTCCAGACGGAGACCATTTGCGCGGACTGCTGGTTTATGGCGCCACTCCTACCCTTCCGCCTGAGCTGGCAGCTGTAATCTTATCGCTCCTACAGCCTACTATGGCAACCCATAATTTATCATGGTGGGATGGCAAGGGTCAAGGAAACCTACATCCCAACAGGGCTCTGCTGGCATCTTGTTTATCCCAGACGGCAGCACAGGTGGAAGGAACCTGACAACATTCATCCACGTCTAGCCCGGAGAGAATCAACTCCTTGGACAAAATGACTCGAGCACGAGAGCTACACGTAATGTCTTAGTTTCAAGGTGATCCCAATATGCAGATATCTCCCGTGGCCCCATTTACTGACTTAATAAGTTACCTATTAACCAATGGGTACCACCCACCTGTAGGGCTGAGGAATTTTCCACTCATGCATATAATTAACAATTGTCAATGGTTTTAGAGGTAAAATGAATTAATCATAATTGTTGAAATCTATGATTGGTTGAATTTGTCAAATGTTTTGATTCATGCATGAAAGTAGGTGTAACCAGTAAATACTGTACAGACTTAACTGACAAAATACTTTTGGTAATCGAAAACAATTACGAAGTATTGATATGTGATCTAGCAAAATAAAAAATAAATGAAATGAAATTAAGTGCAATTTTGCTAAATAAAGGCAAATGGTACTTTGCTAAACCCAGATGAAAAGTAAACTGGTGGAACTACAAAATGTATACATACATTCACATTTAGGAGATACCAATTTGATTTGTTGGTTCTTGGGTTTTTTGCAGGTAATTGATTAAGTGTGCAGACAGAAAGAAAGAAACAAGAATTTGTAGATTTCAAACGTCCGGTATGTATGTATGGCTTGTGTTAATTCAATTGAAATAGATTATGCTAATTACAACAAAATTTACAAAAGGTGTAGACGTTTCCTGTTTCTCTACAGCCTACTCGGCTTCCAAGCAGCAGAAAGATGTAACACATTCACTAGCAACTCTGGCATTTTTAGCGAGAACAAAGGTACATTTTTCACAGGTCATGCAAACCCTTCATCATGAATGAGACGAGAACATCAATATTTGATTTTCAAGCTGGAGGGACTACAATGTTAGCATTGGACCAAATATGTTCTGCAGCAAGGCACTGACCCAGGACAGGAAAGTGTTCTGTCCTTGTTTTGTTCTGCCACCTGCTTGGATTTCTGCCTGCTCATGTTCAATATCGTTAACAAAAACCATACCACTCCAAGCATGAATTTTTTATTCCATTCCATTTCAAAATTTTCATTCTTTTAAAAGGTGAGTGTCAATTTGTTTGATTTCAACAAAAACCATAACTTCAGTCTATGAACATTACCTAAACACATTATCTTCCAGGGCACCATGGTTGAAAAATGTTGCAGTTGACAAGACTGTCTAGACAGTGTGGTTAAATATACATACATGCCATCAACAACAACATGTGTTGCAAATTCTGCATTTTAAGTTTAGAACTTAGAATTACAGTATAGCAGGATTTATTTCAATGAACAACACAGACAAATAAAACAGAGAAGTATTTAGAGTTTTCAGTATTTAGTGTTTTCCAGCTTTTCATCACAAAAAAGATAATTATGAATCCAAATACTAAATGGATGTTGCATGAAAATCACACAAATTGCACTCTTGCAACTAATATCCTCTGGCTCTGACAAAGCATGCACACAACATAATGAAAAACATAAACATACACATCTTCCAAACACCTATACCTCAACTTACTTTCCTGCCTACTTCCGACCTACCAGTATACTTATTCTTCCTTCCCCACACCTGATATGAAACAAATGAATCAAAATTTGAGGGAATTCTAAACCATAAATTACTCCACACTTTCATTATGTACGTTCCCTACTCCACATACTGACAAAATCCCCTCCGGGAGCTAATGAGGAGGACAGTCATCCAGCATTCATGTGATGTTATGATTTTACAGTAAAAGGAGTGCCCCCCTGGTCTTGTGACCAACCCACTTGAGCTTGGCTCCCGTCCAAGGTAATTCTTTGGGCTGGAATTGGAACAACAACTGATCAAGTCAGGCAGAATGACCCCATCTCACCTTGAGGCTGGAAAGAGTGATTTCATGGTTTACCAACTGCTGGCCCCTATTCTTGGGGGCCCTCAGCACACATGTTACTGGGTACATTACATGCTTACTTCTGTCAATAGGAGACTATGATGATTGAAAATGCCTGAAACATGGCCTCATAACAAGGTTGTCACCCTTCCAGAAGTGATTCCTGAAATTCTACGGTATTCTGCATTGAACAGTGTATAGTGTATATTGGCTTGATGAGGAAATATACATCTTTATAATATAAATACCATCCTCCCCCCATATCACTATATGCTACGTCTATCCCATTTTTCTGATACATACTGATATTACGGTAATACCTTTGTAATCCCTCCATCCCTTGAACTGTACACAGCTTATTACGCACTAGCAATTAAGTTCACACCTGCATGTTTCGTTTAATCTTCATATTCCACAGTGGTTTTAAATCCTGAATATTCATGTCCAATGTATTATTTCTATAATACAGAATTGTTTCAAATGCGAACATAATAAAAACACACTAAAAATGTAAAATACCCTTTCTCTTTTGGCTGTAAAATAAAAGCACCGTGAAAGTAAAAAAAAAAAGTCAAATACAGTATTGCACCAACTTCACGATGTAGATTTTTGAGATAATACAACCCTGAGCACTTTGTCTGCCACTGTTTCTCTGAGTCCAAATATTTAACAACTTAATTCAGTCATCTTAAAGCCTCAGCATAGTTCCTGTACAATATTATACTATTATACTATGTAAAACCAGGATAATAAAATGAGGTTGCTGCAATCGTTGTTAAGGCAAGCATAACCATTGCTAATATTGTACTGCTTGCATTAAGATTTCATACCATACATCAATCCTCCAAGCTAATTCCCCTGCATCCCAGACAAGGTTTTGCCTGTAACACAAGGACATCCAGGATATGCTGTCTTGGCAATCCTCCCAGAAAGACCTTAATTTAGTCTGAGGAAATTATCTTCATGCCATGAAATATGAACACATATGCTAGTCCCATTATCGATAAAAGTACAAGGCGTGATATATATTTCAATTTTCTTTTGTCAATTCAGCCCAGAGAAGGTTATTCATCCTTTTTGACATGAAGGCAGACTTCCATATAGCCAACACACAAATCAAACAGAAGACAAACAAGGGTTTGGACACTCATACCTCTGTGAGGTATCAAAACCTTTTGCAAATTTCTTGTTTTACCTGTCTCATACATCATGCACAAAAGGTTCCAATTAGAATTATCTATTATCATTAATGATGATCTTTTTTTCCATAATGGCATATGTTCTATGTGAGCCCCTTCCTTTGGCAGACTTCCACTTCACATATCATCAATTAGGCAAATGATATCTACATTTAAATAATCTATACATGATAATGCTCATCTTTAGGTAACATACACATGTGACAAGTATGAAATTTCCATCATCTAATGAGTGATTATGGCACTTTGCAAAAATGATTCAAACACCATTAACATGTATGCCTTACATTCCAAACAAATGTAGGCTGCATTTAATGAAGTCCTAGTAAAGAATTGACATCATTTTCACTCCTAGCTGCCCAGGACAGGATATAAACCAGGGTTGTCCAAAACAATACTTCCATACAGTGGGACCTACTGGCTGTGTTGAATTAATTTCAAATGAACTTCATGCACTTGATATTACATCATTCTTATCCCTCTGTTTGTACCCATGTGTATATCCCCCTGCTCTGGAATACTAAGTAAATCCTCACATGCCCCCTTGATGGATAGTATCTGGGAAATCTCTGGGAATAAGTTATCCATCTTCATTTCCTCATATGGGGCTGCTCTGTAGTTATTTCACCTCCATGATTTATAATATGTTATAATGCTAGGCAATGATTGAAGTCTCCTGATTACATAAAACCCTGACAACTGAAACTTAATTACCTTTTGCACAGCCTTTTGAAGAAAATATCACAAGTATGCTATGGCTGAGCTTTGCTACGAATAGAATTTGAATGCATATGTAACAGAATGCCAAATCATCTCATGCACATACTATGAGAAATAGAGACCCTCATATGATTGTGAGGGTCTGCATGGGGGAAATGATTGATTCTTTGGGGCTGGTTTGAGACAAATCTGCTTGTCAAAAATATAAACAAAGTACGCAACGAAAAAAATGCAGACAAATGCAGAGATCGTCCTCTGCTCATCTGGCTTGGTGTAACACTTGTGTTTTGTCATGTCATCTTGATGTCAACAGAGGACAGCAGGAGCTATCCATGTAAGATTTTTCCTGTGAAAATGACCCTCTACATGCCGTCCCACTCCCGCCAATAATGATGCTTAATTTCAATGCAATATATCCGACCTGGTCACCAATAAGAAGCAAATCTTGCGCTAAAGCACAGTGAGACGCTGCAACTCCGTGACATCAGGACAAACAATATGGCGCCCAGAAAATTGACATGTGTGCCTGCAAAGAGATGGGGTTTTGTGCGCGTGAAAAATTTGCGCGCGCGTGAAAAATTTGCGCGTGAAAATATGCAAATTAGCCGATTCCCAAGGGATTTAAAAACTTTTTGCTGTTTTGGACTTAAAAATATAGATGAAAAGTCATGAAATAGAATTGAGTATCATATTATCACATTCTAGAGTACATAGCCTTGTTTTGTAAACTTTTCAGTGACTTTTAGGTGATTTTCAAAGTTTAAGTTTTCACGCGCAAAAAAGTTTGAAATTTGCGCGTGAAAGAAACTGCTTCATAAAATGCCAAATCAAGCTTATAGAATGGAGAAAAGCCTGGAATTGTTAAATTTAACAATACAAAACCTTGTATTAGTAACTGTTCCATGTTTTTCTGGCAAATTCAAGTAATTTTTTTAATTTCAATGTTTCTTGGAAGATATGCAAATTAACCTATTCCCAAGGGACCTAAAAATTCAAACCGAAATTTCAGGTTGTAGATGGAAAATCATGTTACAGGGTAACATTTTTCTGCATTAGAATTTG